GGCGGCGGTTCCTGTGGCGGCGCCTCCGGGACACTGGATCGGCGCCGGCGGATCGATGATAATGGAGTCGGACAAGCAGACGGGGGCCACCAGGAAGCAGTACATAGGGATGGTCACCATGCTTGATGTGTTGGCTCACATCGCCGGGAATCAAGTCGCCGCGGCGGAGGGCGGCGCCAACGCCGCAGATCTCGACCGGAAAATGCAGGTTCCGGTGTCGTCTATTATCGGGCAGTGTCTAGAGAGCCTCACCTTGTGGACGCTCAACCCCAACACCGAGTAATTTCGTTTGATTTTGTTTACAACATTTGAACTTGTTAAATATACCTAAATTTTTGTTGCCATCTGAATCGATTCATATATTTTGGTCGTGAAATTTTAATTTCACAGCAACATTTTTTTAGGCCATCGTCTATTAAACCTTGGCTGAACTTACTGGAATTAAAAGATTAACATATGCTCGATATTTTCGATTGACGCAGCATAACTGACTGTATGGAAGTATTCAGCAAAGGCATACACCGGGCCTTAGTCCCTGTCGACAGCCACATGGAAAACATAGCCGGAGTTGAGCTAATCGAGTCAGCATCCAGCTATCGTATGGTCACACAAATGGACCTCCTCAAGTTCCTGAAGGATCACGAGCACGAGTTGGGAGGCATTCTCGAGCAACCCGTGAAAGGACTTGGAGCAATTTGCGATTTCGTCTTTGGGATTTCTAGTGATGCAAAAGTGGTGGATGCCATCAAGTGCATGAGCGGTGCCTCACTCAATGCAGTACCGATTGTCGAGTCTAGTGACGATATCAAGGAGGAACAACGGGAGCTGATCAATGTAAGTTGCCCTTTTCTTGAATTAGGTTTATTGTTCAATTAATTGAGTAGTGATGCTGAGGTTAGTAGTTGAGATTTTAGGCTTTGAGAATGTTACTGATAAGATTTTAGTTATGAACAGTTGGTATATTACATCGGTGTTCTGTTACGTTTGTACAAGATATGGCAAAGGGGCCCGAGTGGTCAATGCAAAGTTTAGCTTTAAGGAAGGCCAGTTTCGAAAACTGATATAGAATATCGATTCAGTTCAGTTAATTACTTATCAACTTTGTGATGAACTCACAATTTTATCAAGTTTTTTTT